CTCACTTAAGACTACCTTGAGGCAAATGACTCCATGTTGATGGGAATCATGATGAGGTTTAGAACACTGAGTGCAACTAACCAATCACTGGTACAGATGTTAGGGGACACTTCAGATCAGGTGAATATGAATTCAGAGTAATTTTTGGAAGGAGGATGGTTATGGATTCAACAAGTTGTCCATTGTCCATCAATTTTTGTGGTGCTCTTCTCCAATCAGGAGATGGACTCCTGGGCCCAGTTGTTTGAAGACTAATTAGTGCTAACTCAGTGTTAAACTAATCCAGGTTTCTTCATTTTTCTGATCAAAAGCCTTTTTAAGGAAAATTTTCCCTATTCTTTTTAGAACATCCACTGACCAAATTGTAACCAAAAAGATATGAACTGAAATTTCTTTTAAAGCTTTCAGGCCTGAAATCAAATTTCACTCTAACCCTGGGTTATCCTAACCCAGCTTTAAACAACACAGGCCTGGACTTCTGTTCCCTTGTGAAACATTAGTTAGATGACTTTTGTTACTGGCTGATGGTTTGCTACTGCTTTCTGGATCTCACTGTCCATGTTTGAGCTTTGGGGAGTTCATTGTGTTGTGTTTTTGTGTTAATGGCACCACAGAATTGTCAAGGGGATATTTTTTACAAACTGTGCTCTCTGCAGAGAACTAGGAGGCTATTCTAAAGGGTTACATTGACTACCTCGTGATCAAAAATTGATATTCATAAGCTCTTGAGCAGAAAAAGTGAGCCTCTAATCTAGAGAGGTATAACCCTTTTAATCCTAGAACTGGTTAACATGTAAATTCTCTTTGCAATTCAAATATTTTATTTTGCAAATAGGTTATGAGAACAGACCACTGATCAGTCAGATGGTTTTATCTTGATATAACAACAAATTCTTAGGTATATTTAAAAAGAAAATGTATGGCATTCAGTTGGGAGAATTACTAATTAGATCATGAGAGTTGCAGGGATGGTAAAGTGAGTCAGGAGAGTCAAGGAATGGGCCCTGACAGACCACTTTTTTTTTGGAGGAGTTGAGGGCTTCGTATATATTTATGATTTTTTAAAAAATCTTATCAGGTTGAAGCAGAACAGCAAAAGTTACAAGACATGAATCAAGAACACACTCAGAACTTATTGGTGAGAATCAATTCATAGCGATTATACATTTCATTTTATAGTGAAAATTTAAAACGTGTTTATGACCGTCACGGGTTAGGGAAAGTCGGAGAGACAGCTCTTTGAGGTTGGGTGGATTAGTTAGTAAATATTGATTCGTCAGGAAAATTTTAATAAATATATCTGAAGAAACGTCAGGGAAAATTAAATAGACTTCTACCACCCAGTGATTCTAAAAGCTCAGCAATTGATAACAATTGTTTTCCCCTTAGCTTATGAACAGTGAACTAGCATCTCTTCAAGAAAAACTGGAGGACACTGTGCAAAGAAAGGAGAAAGTCGATCAGTTCTTAATCAGTAGTAAAGGCGTTTTTAGACAACAGAGTGAAATGCTCGGCTGCATAAGACTTGCAATTGACAACATCGCAGAAAAGTGTCAAAGACTGCGAGGGACGCCTGTAGAGAAACTCGATGTCGATTCAAAGCTCAAAGTAATTCAGGTAAGTATTTGATGATTAGATTTGTTTCTGATTACGCTTTAAGTTATACTCTAACCTACACAAAATGGTGGGAGAACATGAGGAATATCTTTCAATCGTGGTCAAAGGGGAGTGAATTGCAATTTTTTTAGTGTTGTCGTAGAATGTCAATGCGGGTTCTTGTCTTAGCTTGGTAAGTGCGGTTAAATAAACCATGTGTAGAGCAATTTTCAATTGACTGTCGAAAGTAATCTAGAACTTGCTCTTTATTGGGTTTACTTCGTTTTGTGATTGGTCCAGAAACCTCGTGCCACTTTCTTAACCAATCGGATTCAAAACTAAAATCAATCGCGACTTGGTCCTCGCGTTTTCCCGCGCTTCAAGCCGTTTGCTTTTTTTTCTTTGAGTTCTCATTGGTTCCTCGTGATAGTTTCCTTCCCATGATTGGCTTTCGTGATTACTTTCGCTCAATCGAAAAGCGCTCTATTGACCAATCAGTACGTGGGTAACATCTCAGTTATTTTCTATTGTACAAGAACGTATTTTTGAAAAGAAGAACGTTAAGTAGTGTAAGACAATTTTTTGAGACTTACTAACAACGATTAATTGGTTTTGTTATTCCATTAGTCACTTGGAAGGAATAAATAAGTGAGCATTCGTTCAACTTTGAATTTAGTCAGCGAGTTTTTTTTTTTTTATGTATTAATTATTTACGTGGAAATACGTCGGGCATATTCATTGCACTATTTTCTTTTTTCTTTAAGTCTTACAAAGTAACCGTTTTCCAGCTCGCATCCTCTCTAATGATAATACGACATGAGTTAATCTTTCTTCACTTTTCAGGAACACATCATAGAGCACACTGACATCCTGAAGCTGGCCAAACTCCCAGAGTCCGCGGCGGCCTCTGAAGGACTTCAACCCAGTCCATCAAGCATCCTCAAGAACAGAGTATCCCGGCATGCACTGGTAGACTCGCCATTTAAGTCTAGTCCATCCAGAGGTCTCAAGAATGTGCAGATGGCGCTGAGATTTGCTGCTGATGTCAAGCAATCATAGTTGTAATTGCAATTCTGCAGGGAAGTCTCCACTTAAGCAGCAAATAAGAACGTTAATTATGTAGGCCAAGCCTCGAGAGGTGTACTTCCGACGCAATTGTTGTAAAGGAAGTTTTTGCCCTTCAGCCCACAACCCCTGCTTGCAATAATGAAGATTGCTTTAAAGAAATTGTTTGTTTAATTCACGTAATTTTATTGAGAAAATTGTAGTATTCCCTCGGTGGAAATCGGCATGGGGATAAATCAAACTGAATCAATTTGTTCTTTGGAAGTAGGGTTTCATAGAGAGGGGTGCAAAAACTTTCTTGACTGTGTGGGCTGCTGGTCCCCAAAAAGTGGGAGCGAACGGGAAGGGAGGGTGGGTAGTTTCGTGAATACTTTAGTAACAACAATCTACATTCTTTCTGGAAATGACGTGGAAGTAGATTACTGATCATTAGCTTAAAAATCGAAGTTGATCTCTAACGTTTTCGAACATTGAATCAATAACTTTCCTACTGTACTCTTTTCATTAATCTCCCTTTCTTATGAATGCATTTTTTACAGGTCATTGGAATTTTGTAAGAAACAATGTTGTGATACGGAAATTATATTTATTGTGTATATATGATAATTTTTTACAGTAATAAATCGATTTCTTAAATA